AGGGAGAGAGAGAGGAGAGCTGGTTTGTGGAGAAGGAACACTTTCTTTCTCTAGGGTTTCAACCCAAAACACCAAAGGGGAGTTCTAGAGACTAAGTGAGTGATCTTGGAGCTTAATTGAAGGCATTGATCAAGCTTGGAAGCAAGGAATCAAGCCTAGAAGAAGAAGAAGAAGATCTAGAGGTTTCTTTGTAATCTCTCCTCTCTCTCTAGAAACTCGCCCTCTTCTCTTGGGTTTGCGAACCCTAAGTCTATATTTGGGTTTAATGTTGATGTATGTGACAAACTCCATGATTGATTGATGATTTTACTTAATTGATGGATGTTTTCATGAATGGCATGAGTTGGGTTTCCATTTTCATGTATTGAGCTTTTGACCTAGGAGGGAGATAATCCCCTTAGAGCCCCCCTTCGGCGTCTTAGGGTCACTCCTATCGTATATTGTCTGGGTAGTCCCCGAGGGAGTTTATTCGACTGGTCTCCTAGCATTATACGAAACCCTAGGTTGAATAGAGCACTACCCATCCATCGATTCGCCATTCTGGGTCGTTCCCGAGGGAGTCTAATTCCAAGCGGTAGTGTAGTTGAGTCGATCGAGTTAGGAGGATACCCAACATTGATCCAAAGAACATACCTAGGACGATTCAACCCAAGAGAGCTCCCCACCTTATAAATAGCTAGGTTAGTGGTTAGTCTAGGTTAGTTAGTTTAATTCTATCAATCACTATCCAAGGTTGGCTAGATAACGAACCCTAAACCTGAAGTAGGGTAAGCCAAGATCCCCGTGGTACGATAAATTCTTATTGTTAGCTTGCCCAATGCTACACCCGGTCGGCAGTTATACTTGCCCGTCGATCGGGATGTTGTAGTTAGAACGAGTCAATCATGCCCCAAAGTCCGGTTAATTCATTGTCTAAATAGCAAAACTCAATGGGCGTATGGTAGGCTATCGTACTCCCGGGCGTAGGCTAGCCTTTGCCATATATATATATATATATATATATATATATATATATATATATATATATATATATATATATATATATATATGGGGAGTTCTACGGTACCCCGGGTGAAATCCGGGGTACCGCATACCTTAAGTAAGAAAACCCTATCTAGAACTTGAATTGACTGATCTTTCGGACATTATACTATACTCTAACCCATAAAGATCAAAATCTAGGTCTTAATTCACTAAATCTTATACCCCAAGATCAATTTAATTAGAAACAATAATCGACGGTTATGATTCGTCCAAATATAGGCAAAAAAAAGTAATGCTCCATCTTAGGGTTTATAGTTTATGATTTATATAATTAGGACCTAGGGTTCACTCATTAAGGGTTAGGGTATAGTATCATGCTCAAAAATCATGCTAATTCGAGGTCTAGATAGCGTTTTCATACTCAAGGTATGCGGTACCCCGGATTTCACCCGGGGTACCATAGAAGTCACCATATATATATATATATATATATATATATATATATATATATATATATATATATATCAGACTGATGTACTCATAAAGTGTACTACTATATCCTCCAGGTGTTCCTAGTGTGATATGTTTATCTAGACGATGAATTAAACCGAGGTTGGACTAGCTATGACAATATACCCTAACCTCTAATGGATGAACCCCAACCCCAATTCTCTAAACTCAAAACCGAAATTCAATCTAATAAAAAATAATAGTTGACCGTTGAGATTGGTCAGAGCTCATCAATACACATCTAACGGTCAAATCACCTTGACTATACTATACTCCTGGAGTATAGCAGTCATTACCATATATATGGTTTTGTCTTTGGTGCACTCACTTTTTTGTGTGCATTCAATGCACTCACATCATAATCGTCATTCTATGCAGGCAATTCATGTGAAAATATTGTCAACCGTCACTTGTGGTATAACGGAGAAGAAAACACATGAGTTTATACAAAAATCATTCAAGATTTACTTTAATTTCAATGATTTAGGGTTAGGGTTCAGGTTACGATTTGGGATTTTGGGATGGGATTCAAAAATGAAGGTTAAAGGGTTAGGGTAATGGATTGATTAGTTGTGATTCTATGTTATATTATCATATTATACTAGTGCTACCAATTAACATTCAAAATATTATGGCCACTTTTAGAGTTGGGAGCATCGATTGTACCCAAAAAAGGGAGTGCATCGAAGTAGGGTAGGTAATGGCTTGTGATAGGTGATCTGGCCGTTAGACGCACTTCGATAAGCTCCGACCAACCTCAACGGTCAATTATTGTTTTCTATTAAATTGAATTTTGGGATTGATTTTAGAGAATCGTGGCCTAGATTTTATCTATTAGAGGTTAGGGTATAGTATCATACCCGAAACTCGGTTTAGTTCATGGTCTAGATAATGATATCTTACTAGAAGTACCTGGAGTATACTATAATTCAGGAGTAGACTAGTTTGACCCATATATATATGAGATATATCTATCTAGACCATTAATTTAACCGATTTTGGGCATGATAATGTACTCTAACCTCTAATGGGTAAACAATTGACGTCGATTCTCAAAACCCAAATATGAAATTTAATTTACGAGAAAACAACAATTGACCGTTGAGATAGATTGGGGTTCATCGAAGTACATCTAACGGCCAGATCATCAGAAGCATATTATGCTCCTAGGATATGCTCGGGCGTACATTAACCTAGCATATGCCCGGGCATTAAGTTTTGCTATTTAGATCATGAATTAACTAGAGTTTGGAGCATGATACTATAACCTAATATCTAATGAGTGATCCCCAGTCCCTAAGTTTCTAACCCAAACTGCAAAATTTGTTTAATCTTAAAATGAAAAACAACAATAATTTCAACGAATCAGAATCGTTGATTTTCATTTCAAGAATAAATTAATCTTACGCTTTTGGTTAATGAATTGGGGATTAACACATCAAGCGATAATGTATAATATCATGCCTCAAACTCGAGGTTAAGATAGCCTTCGCTATGTTTTAGTTGTTTGGAAATCTATATCATTTTTGGCAGCTATATCATTTTTTTCCCGACCAATCATTTGAGTTTTTCTTTTAGTTGTTTTTGCAGGTTTGGCTTTATGCGGATAGAAGGACCATTACTTCCTCCAGCCCGGGGACCAGAAGCATCCAATTCCACACGGATCCCCGCCAAATTGACTGCTGAAACCGGTTATTGGAAGCTACCGGAGCAGATAATTAATTAAGTTTAATTTTATGAGACAGAACGCACTGCAGCATCAATCAGTCTGCGCCAGTCATTCTCCCGGCCGTTCTCATCCATTTATATGGATATCTATCTCCGGATATCCTCCAATGGATCGGAGTGGGAAGACAAGAAATCCACTTTCCTCAAATATAACCAAATTCTAGTAAATGCATTGATTTTAGTAAGACATAAGTCAAGTATATATTAGTTTGAGATATTATAGATGAACTAGTATCCTGGTCCGCGCTCTGCGCCGTGAGAAGTGTTGTATATTAGAAAGATCTGGAGGAAACAAAACTGAATAATTTTGTTGATACCATATAAACTAACAGTATTGAGATTATAAAACAAACTTTGTGCCATCTTTCATTAGATTGACCAAGTAGAGGCAACATTAAGAAGCATTTCACTCTAAGGGTTAACGTTTTATTAAGGAATAACATATAAATCGAAACAATACAGAGTTACATGTGTTACATGTCCTCAATTAGGTTAAGAACTATCATACATACACATCAAAACTACTTGAACTTTGTGAAAGTTTTGATATATAGTTGAACCTTCTTTACTACAATTCCCAAATTTCCTCAAAACCATCGGGTTCCCAGATTTTCTATTCGCAGAGGGCTGAAACAAAAATGGGGTAGATATAGTTAATGTATTTGCCAGCTATTACAACTAAAAATGGGGACAAACTGGGAATAAAGCAGTCCGTGAGCAATCCGAGTTAAGGAACTTGTGGAGATTTGTATTACAAACAAATACAGATGAGAAATCAATACACCATTGTGTTGCATGCATATAGTCTAAAAATTAAAAACGCTGGTAAGTGAAGAAACTTTAAAAATCTGAACTAACTAAAATAGGTGTACTACACAGTTAACCCAAAATAATATAACTACAACAGTCCCAACGGCTAATTCATAGAGATGGTTGACCTTGTGCATGACCAGGACAGGAATGAAGTAGGCGATACAGAAGCCGTAGCTTACCAGTGATGTTGAGCTGCCATCTGAAGCTTGAAAGAAATTAACTGTACAGATCTAGTAAAAAGAGATGGCATTAGAAAAGGGGTAGCCTCTAATAAAGAACCAAAATGGATTACTCGCCTTAAAATCATGCCTCCACCATTACCACGTCTTCTATTGCAGGAGTTGATAGATACAGTTCATCGACTGGAGAAAACAGTGGATATTCCTAAACAATAAACAACAAAGCAAGATATACTATAAACATCATCAGATAGTAACCACGAAAAATAAAATGTAACAGAAACTTTTATGATAAAGCAATCGTTGAGGTAAAGATCTAAGAAATATATCTAACTCGACAAACTATCCATGACCTTCAAGAAAAACAGAGAGGGTAAACATACATCGGAGTTGTTGTCAACGTCTTGGTGTAACCCATGGTGACTATTATCTAACTGGCAGTCGGCTGTCGAAGCTTTTCCTCTACATAGCCACGCACGGATGACCATTCCTCGTAAAAAAACAGCGGAAATCGGGATGCAACTTTCAAGTTAGAAAGTTGGACAAAACCACATCCAAATAGCTAGCAAAACTCATGGACAATTATCATTACAAAACAGTCTCCAAATATGAAACCTTAAAATCAGGGAGAAGGATAAGTAACATAATAGAACAATCAGTAACCAATACCACCACTGTATTAGACTGCATTCGATTTCTTCGAAGATGGAGACGAACACAATACTAAGCTCGTGAATCAACTGAGCTTATAATCTGCAGAAAATAAGTTCGAGAAAAGGAATCATAACCCACAACTATAGAATCAGAAAATACCATAGAAGATAAAGATTGATAACAACTTGTTCGTTCCTACTATTATCTCGATTTTGCTCGCAGCGGATTACGAAGATTGAGAAAGAGAGTCCTGATCCAGAAGTTATTCTGCTGAGGGATCTTCGACAAATAAAACTGATTCTGGCGAGAGTCCCAGAGATGAAAATGCATCGGATCTGAGGAAAAAGATTTAGAGTTAGTAACTGAGATGCTCCACCGAAAACTAAGAAGAGAACGCAAGAAAGCTCACCCTGGGCTCTCTGTTTCGAGCCTTCTCTGCCTTCCTTTGCGATCCCCATCTCTGTATAGCTACAGTTTCCGGCGCCCATCAATGGACTGACCACTGCAAAGCCATATCCCCCCATCTTCAATTGTCATCGTGCAAAATCTGAGATGAAAAGTAATGAATTTAAACCCTTCTATGACTGGACCCAAAAAGAAAAAAGAAAACAAAAATCATGAACAACAAAGAGAAGAGGAAATAGGAATAGAACATGTAGATCTGGGAATTCGGTTCTTCGAATCCTCTTCCTCGCCCTCTCAAATCCGCCACTTGATCGCTCCGAAATTTGCTTATCTCCCAAACAGAGATGATGGAATTCAATGAGTCGACTCAAAAAAATGGCCGGAAAAAAAAGATACAGAGAGACCACCACCGAGTGAAACCAACTTTCAGAGAGAAAAACTCCAGTTGAGCGAGGGACTCGTTAAGTATCTCTTATCATCCCAAAAAGAAACCAAAGAGAAAGAAAAGGCAAATATAGCCCAAAATAAAAGAACTAACGTGGCTTCTAACCTGCCAAGCAAACCGAAATAATTTCACTACCTTCCCAAAATTCCCTCTCTGTCCCTCTCTCCCAGGCCCCAGCACCGCCTTCCCTCTTCGCTGGCTCCCAAGAACCCCTCAGAAGCCAGAGAGACAAAAGGAAAAATCAAAACAAAAGATTGGATTCATTCGGTCTCCATCAACCTCCACTGTCAACGTCTAAAACCATAGCCTCTAAGTGCTTCTTGACCAACACTTCGTCCCTCTCCCAATCTCTGCAGCCAAAGCAATCATGACCAGACCCCCCTCTTCGCTAATTTCCTTTCTCTTTCTTTCCTCAGCAAGGTGAAAAGCCTGCAATTTCCTTTCTATTTCTTTCCTCTGCAAGGTGAAAAGCCTGCAATCAATCAAAAGGGTGACTCACCATCTCTCCCCCAAAATCCATCGATGGGACAAATCGGCGATTGAAATCCCCATTCCCAGAGGATCTATCAGCAAACCCTCAACACCCAAAACTCATCTGTCCCACAAAAGTATCCCTGCGACCAACGCGATTTTTTCTCCCAGCGTGCTCCAGATCACCCCAAAGCCCCAAACAAAAGCAACAAATAACGCACCACAATTGACGGCAGGAGGACACCAAAGCCCCACCACAGCCCAACAACCAATCAGAACACGGTGAACAGGAATTTAGAGTATGTATGAATAGTGAAAACAGTCTCAATGTACAGTGCCAGATGTTTTGAGCTATTATACTTTTAATTTGTGCAGAGTATAAGTATTGCTTCCATATTCTAAACGAGTATAAATTGGGATATGAATGCTCATTTATCCAAGATTGTTTTAACTACAAGCGCAAAATTGTACCTGTTTGTAAAACTTAAAAAATTTAGGTATAAAAATGTAAGACACAAAAATTTCAGCGACTAAATATATTTTTTCATCGATAATTTTAGGACTTATATCCGGAAAAAATTAGATAATAAATCCAAATGTATATTAAGTTTAGGTACCAAATTGTATATGATATGGGTACAAACTCAAATCCATTGATTAAAAATTTAACGGATCCAAATTAATGAGTATGGTATAAGCAAATCAATCTCTATCCATTTATCTTGTATTTGAGTTTGTTACGAAACTCAATTGAATTGGATAAGAAAATATCCATGAATTTCCGCAAAATTGTCATCTTACTATTTACTCTTTATTTTCTTCTCCTGACAAGCATCTTGTTCAACTTGGTTGAATTAATCCACAACCTATACCATTGAATACTGCTACATGATTGTGGCTCCTTTATTTTCCGAGATGTTAGTCCTAGCTTTCTAGAGGACTTGAAAGAGTACAGTTGCCCGAAGTTTGAAAGCATGAGTCCTATTTGCAATAAAAATCCTAAGCTATAAACTTTGGTTGTTATATTAAGGATAGTTAAGAACTTTTCGCATGGTTGTTTCGCATGTGGTTTCTGGTCTACTTCACGAGAGTTTAGTGTGATTTCTTGTCTGTTTCAAGATATTTGTGGTTAGCTTTATGAATTTTCTTGTATATTTTAAGAAATTGTCGTCAGCTTTGTAGTGTGCTTTCTAAACATTTTGTTATACTTTATAAAAATTATGATATACTTTATGAATTTTGTGACGTAGTTTCTTGTATTTTTTGTATGATTTTTTTGATCGACTTCGTGATACTTCTTGTCAGGTTTTATGAGTTTTCTTGTATGGCTCATGAACTTTTGGTTGGCTATGAGTTTTCTAATATGGTCTATGAGTTTCGTGGTGTGATGAGCTTATGGTCGGTTTTGTGAGCTTTCTAGTCTACTTTATATTTTTTGTGGGGTGGTTTATTCTGTTTCACTTTCTGGTTTGAGTTTTATGATCTTCATGAAACTTGTGGACACTAACACAAAGGTTTTATAACGTGGTTTCGTCAATATGACACTAGTCCACCCTGATGAACTCCCTCACAGGTTTTTGTAATTATATTGATTGATTGCTCTTCTACAGTTTACATGAGCAATATATAGGTTTGTAAACCTAGCTCTAGCCGAAATGCCTTAAAGGCTATTTAGATATTGGTACTATAATTTTATATAATTAACACCCTCCCTCAAATTGATGTCGAGTAATTAACATCAATTTTCAAGATAAAGTACCAATGTCGACTGGATGCCATTGCCTTTGTTAACAAGTCGGCGGTTTGATCTTCTGTAAACAGATCACTCGACTATATCTTGCCTTCTGCCACTAGCTGTCGAATATATTGAACATGAACCTCTATGTGTTAAGTCAGATCATGAAGCACATGATTGTTTGCTATCAGAATAGCATTGGTGTTGTCTCCATAGCTCCTCATCGGCATCTTACACCCAACAGCTAACCCGTCCAATAAGCGTTGAAGCCACACCATCTCGGAGCTCAGATCGGAATAAAACGATACTCTGCTTCTGTTGAAGACTTTGGCACCTTATCCTATTTTCTGTATCCCCGTGAAATGAAAGAACGGCCAAGACGAACACACCATCCAGACTTTGAGTGCATAGTGTCAAGGCACCCTGCATAGTCCACATCAACAAACCCCTCCAACTCTGTGCAGTTGTCGGCGGGGAACAACATACCCAGTCTCGTGTGAGTCCGTGCAAATGAGCAGTCCGTTCAGGCAATATCCGGTCTCGTGTGAGTGAGATAAATCAAGTTCCCAACGATGCTTCTGTAAAAGGTCTGATCCTCCAAAATTTCACCATGGTCTCTACTCAGCTTCAGGTTTTGCTCTGTCGGAGTAGAACAAGGTTGACAGTCACTATGTTGTGCAGTCTCCAAGAGATCTATAATGTACTTCCTTTGACTAAAAAACATACCTTTGTCAGACCGGGTCACCTCCAATCCCAGAAAGTATGACACATCTCCCAACTCCTTCAAATTAAAAGCCTAGTGTAATGACTGTGTGAGCTCTTTGATTCCCTCCACATCACTACCTGATACTATCATATCATCCACATAAAGCAGCAAAACAACTATACCATAGACGGTATGATGCAGGAACATAGAGGGATCACTCGTACTCTAGGTGAAACCAGACTGCAGAATGGTACTGTGAAACTTAGCAAACCAAGCTCGCGGTGCCTGCTTCAAGCATATAACGACTTCCGTAGCTTGCATATCACATCCTTCCCCCTTTTGTCATAACCTGTAGGGCATTCCATATAAATGGTCTCCTTCAAATCGCCATGAAGAAAAACATTCTTCACATCCAACTGAATCATGGACCAATTTTTCAATGCAGCAACAACAAATATACTTCGAACAGTCTGCATGCGAACCATAGGAGAAAACGTCTCATCATAGTAAATGTCGAACTCCTAACGAAAACCCTATGCCACAAGACGAGCCTTATGGCGCTCAATAGAACCATTAGGAAATATTTTAATGTTATACACCTAGCGATTTCCCAAAACATGAATATCAGGAATACAAGAAACTATGTCCCAAGTGTGGTTCACCTCCAAAGCTTGAGTCTCGGAAGCCCTGGCAGTGTCCCATTTTGGGTTCCCCATGAAAAATCTGTAGTGACTAGGAACAAGAATAGGTTTCGGCGAGAACCCCATGTAGTGCTGCATATGAAAACGAGGTTGGCCCAAATTGCTATGATTCGAGCGACGTAGAGGTAGCGAGAATGCAGAAACAGCTTCGGAGAATCAGGAGGATTGGATGAGCTCGAAGAAGAAGATGAGCTATCACCCGACGAGGAAGAGGACCCAGGCAAAAGAGTAGTCTGAGATGATGCCGGAGTCGCTGGCGGAGATGGAAGATCAAAATTGGCAGGGTCGACTGGCGAAATAGGATCATCCAGCTCGGAATAAAAATATGGAGAGTGGAAGGAGAAAATTCAACGTAGGAGTATGCTCTTCGGGTGTTGTAGAATAATACATAACCTGCTCCAGAAAAATGACATGGCAAGAAATACGCATACGATGCTCACGAGGATCATAACATAGATACCCTTTGTGAAAATCACTGTAACCCAGAAACACACATCTGTCCATTTTTTATCTGAGCTTATGACGATCATTCTTCGGAAGCAGGACGAAGCAGACACAACCAAATACACGCAACCATGAATAATCGAGTTGTTTAGAGAAGAGACAAAATAAGGGAAACTTGCCATCAAGAGTAGAAGTGATCGGGCAATTGATCACATACACAGCAATAGAAATCGCCTCGAGTTAGAAACCCCGTGGAACCTGCAACTGCAAAAGAAGTGCTCGAGTTAACTCCAACACATGCCGATGCTTCCGTTCAACCAATCCATTCTGCTGAGATACCTCGGGACAAGACTTTGCGAGATAATACCATGAGAACAATAAAACTCAAGTAACGAGAGAGAACTAAACTCCCCCTGGATTTGACCAGATGATTTTAACGGTCTTCCAAACTGCGTGCGAACGAACTGAACAAAGGTTGTTGCATGATTAATCAACTCGAACTTCTTCTCAAGCTGAAAATCCATGCATAACGAGTTACATGATCAATAAATAAAGCAAAGTATTTGTACCCCATGCAAGAAGTAACCGGCGACGGACCCCCCATAAATCCGTATGAATTAAATCAAATGGCGATGAATAAATCGAGTCACTGGGTGAGAACGACGACTGT